ATGGGGGTTTGGGGGTTGGATTCGGGGTACATGGGGGTTTGGGGGTTGGCTTTCAGGAACTGAAAATGCTCCTTCATGCAACTGAAAGTGACTTTGAAGGTGCATCTCCAAATATCTGCCTATAAATTTTCATTATTAAGGTTGTGGATCTTTGAGGGTTGGGTTTTTTTAATGGGCGGGTTTTTGCCTTCTTTTTTTTTTTTTTTTACCCTTTTGCTTTTTCTGTCTTTAGCAATAAATTTAAAATCCAATCAGGGAATAACTTAACACTCTTGGGTTTGTCTTTTACAAAGATGGGAGAGCAGCAAACATTCCTGAGCAGAGCTCCCTGGGGTAACAGCCAGAGCTCAGGTAACTGAGCCCACAGGGCAGTTCCCAGTCCCAGTGTCAAGGATCTGTGTTGTTCCACAGATGTTAACGAGTGCCAAGAGTCCAACTCCTGCCATCAGCGTTGCTTCAACACCATAGGAAGTTTCCACTGTGGCTGTGACCCAGGATTCCAGCTGAAGGGCAGAAAATGCGTGGGTAGGGATGAAGTGCTGAGTGTCCATTCCCTTTCTCCAGCAGAGTTCAACATTTATTTGTCACTGTTTATGAGGGAAAGTCCTGCTGTGATGATACACTTGGTCTGTACTTCTGAATCTGTAAAACACTCCTAAAAACCAGAGGAAGCAGGAATTGGGCTGACTGATGCATGAGCATGAAATGATTCAAAGGCATGGTCAGGTGTAATTTCATTATATAGAGGCCAAGCTTTGTTTATTTTGTTTCCTTTTTGTTTGAATAAGATGTTAATGAGTGCAGGCAGAACGTGTGCAGGCCTGATCAGCTCTGCAAGAACACCCGTGGTGGCTACAAGTGCATCGACCTGTGTCCCAGTGGAATGACCAAAGCAGAGAATGGGACCTGCATTGGTGAGTAGCAGCACTGATTCACTCCATGGTGATGAGAAACACAGGGACAGTGGTGATTTTTAAATAATCCTGAAGCTTGTCCATCTCTTGTTATTAACATTTGCACATATTAAGGCACCAACTTTTTTTCAAGTTTAACTTAACATCCATATTTAACTTTTGAGAATTAGTATTAAAAGATGTGTCCTTGCCACCTCTGGTTATCCATTGTTTCTTAAGAGTTTGGCTCAGAAGCTCTGAATTAAGATCCCAGGTCCTTGCTGCTTATCCACTGCCTGGTGGATGAGGGGAAGGCTGTGGATGTGTCTGTCTGGATTTCAGCAAAGCCTTGGACACCATCTCCCACAGCATCCTCCTAGAAAAGCCTTGGCCAGGGGCACTCTGTGCTGGGTTA